CCCACGCACCTTCACCACCTCCAGCTCCTTCTCCCGCTGCAGCAGCTGCTTCTCCAGCTCCGCCACCCGCATCATGTTCTCGTTCTCCAGGTCCAGCAGCTTCTCCGTCAGCTGCGGGGGTGAACGTGGCCGTGACTTGGGGACTGCCCCTGTATCACTACCAGCCTCCCCAGGGGCAAAGGCAGACCCTGGGAGGGGATGCCCCAGGACCCAGTGAGGAGCATCCCCCAGTCCCCCCGTGCTCACGTACGTGGGACAGATGCTCCTCCAGCTCCTCCACCTTCTCCAGGGCCACGTTCTTGGTCTCAGCATCCTCCAGCAGCCCCCCCACATCGAAGACATTGTCCAGGTACGCCTGGATCTGCACCTGCAGCTTCTCGCTCTCCGTGTGCCTCGACTTCTGTGGGCATTGGGGCGGCATCAGGGCTGGGGTGGCTCCTTGGGACAGCGCTCCCCGGCCCCCAACCCCCCGTACCTGTAGGAACTCTTCCAGCCCCAGTTTGGTGAACTCATACTGGAGATGGACACGGAAGTTCATGTCCTCCACCGAGTGAACCACGATGTTGATGAACTGCATGCAGGCGACCTGCAGGCAGGACTGGGGTCACCAAGAGCCCCCCCCAACAGCACACCCTGATGTCCCCAAGACTCTCCCCCTGGCCCACAATGGGGCATCCCACCATGAAGTCGATGCTGCTGTCCTCGTTGCGGAAATAGTCCATCAGCCGCTCGAAGCGGTGCTTCTCCTTGCAGACCTGAGCAAGCCACGGACACAGGGTTAATCCGGCTTGGACCCTCCCACCCCCGGCCCCCATCCCCTGGGCTCCAGTCCCCTAATCCCAGTCTGGTCCTGATGTCCCCAGACCCCCTGTCCCAACCTGGCCTCATCCATCCCCTGCGCTCCAGACTCCCCATTCCAGCCTGCTCCTGTTGTTCCCGGTTCCTCCATTCCCTGGGTCCTGGTCCCTGATCCTGGTGCCCCCAGTGCTCTCATCCCAGCCTGGTCCTGCCTCCCCCAGTCCCTCCAACCCAGTGCTAGTGCCCCCATCCCAGCCTGGTTCTGCCTCAGCCCCAAAACCCCCAGTCCCTCCATCCCAGCCTGGGCCTGGTGTTCTCAGGTCCTCCATTCCTTGGGTCCTGCTCCCCAGTCCCAGCCTCATCCTGGTGCCCCCAGTGACCCCATCCCAGCCTGGTCCTGTTGTTCCCAGGTCCTCCATTCCCTGGGTCCTGGTCCCCAGTCCCAGCCTGATCGTGGTGCCCCCAGTGACGCCATCCCAGCCTGCTCCCGTTGTTCCCAGGTCCTCCATTCCCTGGCTCCTGGTCCCCCATCCCAGCCTGGTCCTGTCTCCCCCTAGTCCTCCCCAGCCCAGCCCTCTCCTGCTGCCCCCGTTTCCCCCCAGTACCTCCTTGAAGTTGTCGAAGGCAGCCAGGATGATCTCGTGGCCGCCCCGCACCAGGCAGACGGCCGCCAGCAGCTCCAGCACCAGTGCCTTCGTCCTGCAGCAGAGCAGCACCAGCACTGTCACACCGTCACCCCCGGCAGCCACCGGGACCCCCCCCTCCTCCCAGATCCCCCCCTCACCTCGGGTTCTTGTTATTGAGGCTCAGGGCGATCTCGTTGACAGCGTGGGGATGGGACATGACCAGGTTGAAGCCGTACTGTCGGGGACAGAGCAGGGACGGGGTCAGCAGCGCCGGCGCGGTGACACCGGCGCGTGTCCCCACCACGGGACAGCGGTACCTGGTAGTTCATGATGGCTCGGAGACACATGATGCAGAGGTGGACGTCGTCCTTCTGGCTCACCAGGCGCGAGTTCTTCAGCGCCCTGCGGCTCGGCAGCGTGCCGTAACTGGGGGGGGACACGGGGTGCCGTGAGTGGGACCCTCGCACCGCCGGTGCTGCACCGCCAGCGGGGGACCACGATGGGGACCGGGGTGGGGACAGCATGGGGACAGCGGGGTTTTCAGAGGGGCAGAGGCAGAGAGAAGCGGCCGGAGGGGCGAGAGGAAGAGAGGCTGGTGGAGACGCGGGGCGAAGCCGCTGCAAGCGCCGGGGCCGGCCCCTGGCAGCCGGTACTTACCCGGCGGGCGAGCGGCGAGGCGGGCACGGAGGAGAGAGAGAGAGAGCGCAGCCAGAGAAGGAAGGGGGGCAGCCCTGGAAGCAGAGATGGGGCACGTTACCCCGGGGCGCAGGGGGGCAGAGGCAGAGCGGGGTGGAGCGGAGGCAGCGTGGCTGCGGCAGGCAGCAGGGCGGGCAGGGGACGGCGCGCGAGGCCGGCAGGACGGGACGGCACGCGAGGCAGCATGGGATGCGGCACACGTGGCACGTGGCACGGCACAGCCACACCGAGGGCAAGGCACAGCCTGGTGCTGGGGGTGCACCACGGGGCAGCTGGCACACAGGACATGGCACGTGCTACACACACGATGGTGCACAGCACACAGGCAGGATGGTGCACAGCCCGGTGCAGCGTGGTACACAGCACAGTGTGCACCATGGCACTGGGCAGGACGGTGCACGGCACGGCACGCACCACAGGCAGGACAGCACATGGCCTGGCACACACCACGGCAGGATTTTACATGGCACCAGGCACAACGGCATGGCACACACCATGACACGACTGTGCAATGGTACAGGGCACGATGGCGTGACACGCACCACGGCAGGATGGTGCTGGGCATGGCACACAGCATGATGACACATGCCTTGGTAGGATGGTGCGTGGCACTGAGTACGATGGCACGGCACACACCATGATTGTGCAATGGCACAGGGCAAGATAGTGTGGCACACACCACGGCAGGATGGTGCACAGCCTGGCACACACCAGGAGAGTGTGTGGCACAGCACACACTGGGCACACAGCCTGCACCGTGGCAGAAGAGTGCGTGGCCCAGGGCGCAATGGCACAGCACACACCATGGCAGAGCAGTGCATGGTGTGTGCTCACACCACGGCATGATTGTGCACAGCACGGGGCACGATGGCATGGCCCAAGGCACAACGGCTCGGCACACACCATGGCAGGATGGGGCACTGCCCGGCGCACACCGTGGCAGGACAGTGCACACAGGGCATGCAGCCATGGGTGGCCGGAGCCGGCGGAGCAGGGCAGCGGGGGGGGCCGTACCGGGGGGCTGGGGGGCACAGCGGGTACCTACCGTAGGGCGGTCTGGCGGGCAGAGCGAGCCAGGTTGCTGGCGAAGGGGGCGGGCAGGGCGCTGGGGTGCTGCAGATCCTCGATGGACCTGCTCCAGGCGCGCAGCTTCTCCAGCGCGCCATCCTCGCCACCTTCCAGGCCCTCAAAATCCAACCTGGGTGGGACAGGCGTGCAGCAGGGCAGGGGGGACACACGGCTTCGGCGCGGAGCGACGCAGCTGCCGCGGCAAGCGCTGAAGCAGGCGGCGGCCGGGCAGCAGCGGGGCAGGGGGAGGCGCGAGGGTGGCCCTGGGACCCCCATCCCCAGCCCAGGCAGGCAGGAGGGGGCTGAGCATCCCCGTGTCCCTCAGGACCCCACAGCAGGCGGGTCCCTGCGTGCCAACCGGGCTGCCAGTGCTGATAAGGGACCCAACAGTATCCTGCCCACAGCAGGGAGCTGCCACGGGGCACAAAGACCTTCCACATCCCAGCCCCCCAACAGCAAGAGACACC